GTATCATCTTAAAAAATTCCCAGTGAAACCTATTATCCAGCAGTTCACGTTTCAGTTAATTGTGAAGTAGGAGAGTATAGATTCAACTGTATTGACAAAATTCCTCCAATTTTCAAATTCCTTTATATGAACAAAAATTACCTTACTGCAGCCAATACTTGATGGTGATTAGCAGGTGTGTGCGAACCAATATTAATTAGTCTTGCCATTCATTAGGTTTTAATTAAAATGAGGAGATAATTGACCTGACATTTAATTTTGTTAAAGGATGTAACACAAAATTTGGGAATTCAATTTACTACCACTCTACAAGTTCAACAGCTCAACTTAATTAATGGACTCCTCTCATGACTTCATTCAAAAAACTTTTCTTTCTTAAAAATAAATTCAGATTACATTTGTGGTGGCATAAGGGACGTGGTCTTGTATTTAGGAAAGAAGGATAAATCAGTTAATCAGCTTAACTTCAAAAATTTATAATATCACTTCAAAAAGGCTCAAAATACTCATCCATGGGAGCAAAAAGGAGAAGTTCACTATTACATTTTGATTCCAGTCAGAACGCTTTCATTCATTATCAAAAATCGATTAGCGTCTGATCACAAATATTTTTAAACCTTTTGGTGCCTACGAATAAGATCTTACATTTAGCTGTTTTACCGAGCTACATAATATATGAGGCCAAATTACTGTTTGAAATGCCATCAGAAACTCAATCACGAAATTGGAGGCATGGCTTGGTACAAACTGAATGAAAGCAATAACCTTTGTTTATATCATCACATCGCAATCCAAAACATTTAAGGCGTAAACATCAAACTAGAGGATGCATGAGGTTTCATTTGCAGAAACTTTCACCGATTTTGGACCCATTTTATATAAAAACTACAACATGTAACAAAAGGAGCCTCTAAAGAAGTCTTTCAAAAGTGTTTACCTGTTTTTACAAAGTGCTGACCTCTAAAACGAAAACAGGCAATTTCATTTTCAGCGATTATGGGTAAGGATTACTTCTACGTTGAACAGTGAACCCTGTCAAATTTCGCGATCTTGATGACTATGAAAACACTCATTGTTTTGGTTAAATAAGAAGCTCGAAAGCATCTGAAAACGGACATTCTTTCAGACCCAAGAAAACTGATCATGGGCTAGCGAACAAGCTAAAACGAAATTTACTACGATCAAGACCTTGGCTTCATGAAAGGTTGTAGCCTTCAGTTTCCGGTCAATTTATTTCCAGCTGTTTAGTCATATCGAATACACCTCAATTTCGCCTTAACTGTTGGAAAAATTAAATTTATGCTTTGAATTTCTAATGAGACTCGCAAAAGAACCTCACAGCCCTCTGGGCGAGGTAATGTAAAATAATGAATCGAGTTTATCTCAAATGGCTTCGAGCGTCACCTTCGATGAGCTAGAACTATTCTTTACAATTCGATGTGCTTGAAAACCTCTCGCGCCAAATAAAAAATCAAGATCTCTTTCTACATGAAGTAAAATATACGACAGATTGTAAAATGTAAAAAAAGAAGCGTTCGATAAACAGAGCAGCAAGTAGTGAATTTCGTGCGCGCGTTTTAACTTCATTAAACAGATTTCTAAATCACCGCGGTTTCAATAGAAGGTCCACTTATGAACCGCTTCGGGTTTGTAATTTTTTGCGAGTACATAAACAACATGCAGCGAAATTCGCAAAAGGAAAATTCCTTAGCTCCATACCTTTGTTAAGGATCAAAAGGTAACAAATTCCTTCTTTATACAGCCCAAGGAGGTTCGATATGTGTTAGTTGCTCCGCCATTTTATGCATGCCTGTCCATAATGCTAATTTGTCACGTGATACGTTGTTTTACATACCGGGACAATTTACCGGGACCACTGCCCGGCCGGAAGGCTGAGAAAAACCGCGTTATCTTTTTCTTTTCTTTTTCCCTTTTTCGTTATCTTTTCTTTTATTTATTTTATCATTATCGTTTATTGTGAAAGGAGCTTTTTTACTGAAATGATGACCCACTCCCTATATAAAACCGATTGGGAACTCGATCCCAGTTTACACAATACGCGGCCCGGGGTGGGAAGTACTCCACAAATATGGGTATGTGCCGCCTCGACGGGTGTGGTTTTCAGCCGTTTTTGCCCATTACGGTCTAAAATTGAGTATGATTTTCGAGGAAGCAAGCCACGGCACTGAATAAACTTATTTATCTTTTCAACTCCAAACAGCTCCAAATGGATACAAAAGAAAGAAAAATAAACGAAATATATCATTCGAACCGAGTTTAATGAAATCTTCACGTTAGATAAGGTTAGATAAGGTTGAAAACAGGTGAGGAAACTGTCGTGTTTTGGATTTGAAATCGGGGATCAGGATATTGGAGAACCGGTTGTCACATCTTCATCAAGAATTTTCAATGAGTACCCCCCCCCCCC